AAAAGTTATTCACAAAATTTTCTAAGTTTTTTTCCACTATTTTGCCACCCAGAAAATAGTTAGAGTTTCTGACTTTTCCACGAAAAGCCACTCATTTTCCACCTTCAAAATAAACTAAGCTTCATTTTTCACCAATTTCCACCCTTTTGCCACCATAAAAAAAGTCTATGTTCATATTTTCACTCAATGCCACCTAAATGCCACCAAAGGATAGTGGCATTTGGTGGTAATTTTGCCACTACAGTGGAAAAAGAGTGGAATTTTGTCATTTTCCAGTTAATGCCACCTTTTTTACACTTAATGCCACCCTTTTCAATGGAAATAGCTGGCAAGTAGTGGCAAATCTAGGGACGGGGGTCATTGATTTTCCTTATATGTGTATAGCAAAAACTTAAAAAATCTTCTTTGAAAAAACCTAAATAGCTAGAGTTTAGATATTAAGTATGAAACATCTTCTAGTGAGTGTCTACAAAGTTTGTTCAAATAAAAGCCCTGGGGTCAAAACTGGTCCCGCCCCGGGAGGTCATTGATTTTCCTTATACATGTATGTGTATAGCAAAAACTTAAAAATCTTCTTTGAAAAAAACAAAAATAGCTAGAGTTTAGATATTAAGCATGAAACATCTTCTAGTAAGTGTCTACAAAGTTTGTTCAAATTAAAGCCCTGGGGTCAAAACTGGCCCTGCCCCAGGGGTGTCATTGTTTTTAACAATATGTGTACATTTGTATAGTAAAAACTTGAAAAAATCTTCTTATAAAAAAAAACCAAGGAGCTAGAGCTTAGATGTTTAGCATGAAACATCTTATATAGGTGTCTACCAAGTTTATTCAAATAAAAGCCCTTGGGTGAAAATTGGCCCTGCCGGGGGGGGGGGGGGGGGGGGCGATTGTGGAGATCATCGTTTTTCATTATACATGTATGTTTGTAGTAAAAACTTAACACCGTGAAACATATTCTAATGAGTGTCTTCCAAGTTTGTTCAAATAAAAGCCCTGGGGTTAAAACTGGCCCTGCTCCAGGGGCCTGTTTACAGGTGAGTGAACTCAGGGCCATCATGGCCCTCTTGTTGCTTTACCAGTAGTTCTATTAAAAGGGCTTGTTATTGCACACATCTTGCTGATTTTAGATGTACCATATATACTCTCTTTTTTTCAGAATGCTGGCTTCATTTTACTCCTGTGAAACTATATGTATTATGTTCAAGGAGCATAGATTAAATTAGGAAAAATGTCTGATATTGATATAGCTGTCGACCCTCTTGAAGTTAATAATCAGAAATCAAACAATGTGAGATGGAGCCCCACAGGTGCTGACGGAGATGCGGACCCGTTGGGTTTAAGAGACACAGTTGTTCATCTGGACTCTCTCACAAGATGGAATCTTACCTTATTACCACTAGCAACAGATACTGATGATGATAATCCAACTGTTGCAGAAAATGAAAAACGGTCACCATTTCCATGGCGAAATGATCTTAATAATAAGATTGTTTTGTGGTTAGTGCAATAAAGATTTATTACATAATGATATTTTATATGTAAGTCAATTAATATTGAGGTTTATACATGTACATTTTCAAATGAAGAAATTGATAATGAAAAATTTGTTTTTCTTCATGTATAATACATTAAATGAGCTGCGTCATGACAAAACCAACGTTATGCGTTTGCGACCAGTATGGATCAAGACCAGCCTGCGCATCCGCACAGTCTGATTAGGATCCATGCTGTTCGCTATCAGTTTCTCTACTTGTAAAAGGGTCTGTAAGTGAACAGCATGGATCCTGATCAGACTGTGCAGATGCCCAGGCTGGTCTGGATCCATGCTGGTCGCAAACCCATCATGTTGGTTTTGTCATGATGCGGCTCATTTCTTTGTAGAATGTACAATATTACTGTACATGACATGTTTATTATTTTGTGAATGTCTATATACATGCAAGCATAATTATTTTCCAGAATTAAAGCATTTAATTCAGATTTCATAACAGTTTGCAGTTAAAAATTTTACCCAACCATTATTTTATTTTCTATTTAATCATATCAGGAAAGGTGACATTACAGAGTTGAGTGTACATGCTATTGTTCATTCAACTAATGAGAAGATGACAGACAGGTCTTACATCACAGAAAAACTCTTTGCTAAAGCCGGGCCCAAATTACAGGCAGACATTAAAAACAATATAAGAGGTAATGTACTGGTTCCAAGCTCCAAATGTCGCTAAGCTAAACTTTAAGATAAGTCTGATATCTGTGACAGCTTACTTTTACTCTGTTGTTGTGGCATGTTGGATAAAATTTCAGTTATACAGGGAGCATTGGCATAGTGGTGAAAGTGCCTGCAGCTTACCCAGAGATAAAGGGTTCAAGTCATGCTTTAGTCACCACCATGTTTCTCCTTATGACACCAGTATTGGTTTGTTCTTATGACACCAGTATTGGTGTCTTCATATGACACTTGTTTTGGTTTCTTCATATGTCACCAGTATTGGTTTCTTCATATGACACCAGTATTGGTTTCATCATATGACACTTGTTTTGGTTCCTTCATATGTCACTTGTTTTGGTTTCTTCATATGACACCAGTATTGGTTTGTTCATATGACACCAGTATTGGTTTGTTCATATGACACCAGTTTTGGTTTCTTCATATGACACCAGTAATGACAGCAGTATCAGTTTGTTCTAGGAAGCAGACTGAAAAAATATAAGTTGAAGAATTTTGTTGCACACTCTTGCAAAGTATAGTTCTTGGGTGTGTTTTTATATTTTCTTTTATTGAAGGAGGGGGATATTTCTGTTATAACAATTTTCAATTTTAAAAGTACATGCATATTCCTAATTTAAAAACAGTGACCCAATGTAATTGTTAATGGAAATGTGAAAATAGGAAAGTGTTGATTAATTTTCTCTTTATTACATGTTTCATTATTTATATTGTCGTAGCCTGGGATTCAGGCGTTGATAGTTTTTGCTTATTTATAACATTTTTTTTTCATAACATATGCGCTAAAATATTCCGTATTCGTTTGTCGTTATGATAGTCGATTTGCCAAACAGAAACATAACATAAAATCGACAGACTGGAACCCAGGCTAATATTGTCGTTAATCACTGTAGTTAATTCCCGTCATGATTTCTATTGAAACATCACATGGTGCAAATGCTGACAGTGCATTGGTTATATTTTATAACATGTGAAATAAATATTTATATGTGAAATAATCACATGTCACATCCTGTATTTCCTATATGTATAAGAGTTCATTTATATACAATAATGTTTATCTTAATCTAATTTAGTTTGCAAGACAGGAGAGGCTAAGATCAGTGAAGGTTTTGACCTGTTGTGTCGTTATGTGATACATACTGTAGGACCGAGATACAATGTGAAATACGTGACTGCGGCAGAGGGAGCCTTATACAGTAGTTACAGAAATGTCTTACAGCTGGTTAGGTAATTAAATAATTATATACTAAAAAAAAAATCAAGCCATGTACAGCCCAGTTATGAGGGGTTGGGTGGGGGGAGGGGGGGGGTACTTGAACTACATATAGCTTGTCTATCTGGCAGTCATACTATGTTCATCTAAAATCACATGTAGTCAAGGTATTAACTTGAAAATGCATAAATGAAAATATTTAGGAGAGGTGCAGTGCTTTAAATTATTTGCTCAATTATGTTAAAGTTGGAAGTTATTGCCTATCATAAATTTTATAATGATTGATAATTGTCCTGGGCATATGTTAATCATAAGATGTATCAGCTTAAAACTTCAAGATATCCTACTTACAAATGGTATTTATACCAGGATAGTTGCAGATCTTGGGTTATTTTCTAATGTACGTTAAAATATAATTACATTTGTAGACTTTGGTTTTTTAGCTCGACTATTCAATAAGAATAAGTAGAGCTATTGCAGTCACCCGAGCGTCGGCGTCCGCGTCGGCTTAGGTGTCGGCGTAACCACTTATGTTAAAGTTTTTGTAATAGACAGAATTATGCCCCTTTTTCGACTTAGAATTTACGTTAAAGTTTTTGTAATAGTTCAAATATTTTCAAAGTCCATAGACATATGGCTTTGAAACTTTGCACACTTGTTCACCATCATGACCCCAACCTGTAGACAGGAGGAGGTAACTCTATCAAGCATTTTGACAGAATTATGCCCCTTTTTAGCTCGACTATTCGATAAGAATAAGTAGAGCTATTGCAGTCACCCGAGCGTCGGCGTCCGCGTCGGCGTCGGCGTAACCACTTATGTTAAAGTTTTTGTAATAGTTCAAATATTTTCAAAGTCCATTGACATATGGCTTTGAAACTTTGCACACTTGTTCACCATCATGACCCCAACCTGTAGACAGGAGGAGGTAAATCTATCAAGCATTTTGACAGAATTATGCCCCTTTTTCGACTTAGAATTTACGTTAAAGTTTTTGTAATAGTTCAAATATTTTCAAAGTCCATAGATATATGGCTTTGAAACTTTGCACACTTGTTCACCATCATGACCCCAACCTGTAGACAGGAGGAGGTAACTCTATCAAGCATTTTGACAGAATTATGCCCCTTTTTCGACTTAGAATTTACGTTAAAGTTTTTGTAATAGTTCAAATATTTTCAAAGTTCATTGACATATGGCTTTGAAACTTTGCACACTTGTTCAACATCATGACCCCAACCTGTAAACAAGAGGAGGTAACTCTATCAAGCATTTTGACAGAATTATGCCCCTTTTCAACTTAGAATTTACGTTAAAGTTTATGTAATAGTTCAAATATTTTCAAAGTCCATTGACATATGGCTTTGAAACTTTGCACACTTGTTCACCATCATGACCCCAACCTGTAAACAGGAGGAGGTAACTGTATCAAGCATTTTTTTTACTATCAAGCACTAAGAATAGTCGAGCGTTGCTGTCCTACCGACAGCTCTTGTTTGACTTAGAATTTACGTTAAAGTTTTTGTAAAAGTTCAAATATTTTCAAAGTCCATTGACATATGGCTTTGAAACTTTGCACACTTGTTCAACATCATGACCCGAACCTGTAACCAGGAGGAGGTAACTCTATCAAGCATTTTGACAGAATTATGCCCCTTTTTCGACTTAGAATTTACGTTAAAGTTTTTGTAATAGTTCAAATATTTTCAAAGTCCATTGACATATGGCTTTGAAACTTTGCACACTTGTTCACCATCATGACCCCAACCTGTAAACAGGAGGAGGTAACTGTATCAAGCATTTTTTTTACTATCAAGCACTAAGAATAGACGAGCGTTGCTGTCCTACCGACAGCTCTTGTTGATATATATGATCAGTACATGTGCTGGGATTGACAAATATGCATTTAATTTGGATTTTAAAGGCGTTTTGAGCTCCAAACCCCAAGTGTCTGTGATTTCATTAAGTAATTATATGGTCAGTCATGGCTGAAAAAACATTGATTATTTGATAGAGAAACATAACAAAGAAACACTTTGAAAAAAATCATTCATTGTGAAGTTAATATTAATGCAATAAAATCATTTCTTTTCATACAAGATGAGGAATAATATTATAAAAAAGGAATATGAAACAAAGAAAATAAAAAAAATAACTTTATTAAATTGACAGTTTCATTAGAAAGATAACATCTTTACCAACATGTGTTATACAGTGACAGTTGGCATATATAACATGTATAATAGCTGTAAGTAAAATTTATCACTGGCTTGATTGACAATTTTACAATTTGATAACGTTTCTTAACTGTTATAGTGGACCTGGCCGCCACATCACTCTATAATTGTCCTAATTGAGCAGTATAGTCAGAGCATGATAAACAGAACTTCCGTCAGTTCTAAAAATATCAGCACAGTCCATTAAAAGATTAACTCGGGTAAACATAGGTACCTGCAAGTGATTAACCAAATAATTACATTGAAAGTTATACAAATTATATTTTATGAGATGTTATATTCGTTTGGCTGTATAGCACAATTAGTAAGACTGCTTATTAATATGAAAGTGAATTAAGCTAACGGGTTCGAAACCTGTTGGAAACTGTTTAAATTTTTTTACAAGTTTTAATTCTTCTTTTTTTATTTCTTACTGTCTGACAAAATAAATATATGATTACGCATAAATTATGAACTTAAAGATATTTTATTTTTTGTCTCTTGAAAGTTAAAATATTCATACATTTGTAATATGAAATGCAAAACATATAATAAAGGAGGTGAAGATACTTTGTTTAAAATGTTATATAAATACATCAATAAAAATTAACCAAACAAATTATAGTTATGTAGTTTTGTATATATATATATGAAAGGGAAAATAAAAAATAAATAAAAAAAAAACTTTTTTGAAGCCTGTTACCCTCTTGTAGAGGAGTAGGTTCCTTCTGAACATAGACAGTGCTCTACCGATTGAGCTATTGTGACATTTATTATTTACTTTACAATTATTAGTCAAACGTACATGTACAATCATTGAGATGTGCAACATTTCATTTACCTATATAGAATTAAAATAAACTGTTCTGTACTGTAAATAAATATGAAGAAAGTTCTGTTTATCGTGCTCGGATTATAGAATAGATTAGACTTTATATATAAATATATTATTGTCACCTTAGTGCAATAACAGGTTAACTCTTATTTAAAGTTAATAGGAGTTAACTTGTTACTGCTTTAAGGTAAAGATTTTAAAGCAGCACACTTCAACAGTTGTGCTAATTATTATGAAAATATAAATCTTATTTTTGATTAAAATGTGGAGTATAAAGATAAAGTGATTACAATTAGCTAACATTATTGATTACATGCATATTCACAAAAACCACATATAACATGTCATAATATGTTGCCATGGATGCTTTATTCAAAGATTTAAGCAGTATTACCTCCACCAGTCGCAATTTTATAGCATCAATCGCAGAAGTCAAATTTTTGTATCTCAACTTTAGGGGGGAGGGGGGGCATTTAGATTTACCCTTGTTCTTCCGACCATCCATCCATACGCACTACTGAATAGGGATAGTGGGCCATCAAACTGTAAATAGAACAAAAGAGAACAACAAAGTTCATTTTAAACAATAGAGTAAGGGGCCATTGGCCCTCTATTAAACAGTATAAAAAAAACCAAAATAAATGGCCCATTATTCCATTTTGGCTGCATGTCCATCCGCCGTCCTCCATCCATGTGTCCACCATTCTCATTTTGTGTCACATGTAACTCCAGAAGTATTTGACCTAGAGTCATGAAACTTTACAGGAATGTTTATCAGCATGTGTAGTTGTGCACCTTGGTATTTTCGTGTGGATTTTATCAGCACTTTGTAGAGTTATTGCCCTTGACTTAGTTAATATTTACATTTTTCAACTTGTGTCGCACATAACTCAAAAAGTGTTTGAGCTAAAGTCATGAAACTTTACAAGAATGTTGCTCAGCATGTGAAGTTGTGCACCTTGTGTTTCGCTTGTGAATTTTAATTCTGTTTTGTCAGAGTTAGTACCCTTGACTTAGTAAAAATTTGCAATTTTCAACTTGTGTTGTATTTAGCTCTTAAAGTATTTGACCTAGGGTCATGAAACTTCACAGGAATGTTTATCAGCATGTTTTGTGAGAGTTATTGCCATTTTCAATTTTCAATTTTTGTCGTGCATAGCTCAAAATATATTTAACCTAGAGTCATGAAACTGGAATGTTGGTCAGCATGTGTAGTTGTTCACGTTGGGTTTCGCTTGTAGATTTATCCAGTATTTGTACAGTTCTTGTCTTTAACTTTGTGAAAACTGTTTCATTATGTTGTGTTATTTGTTCCTTGAGTGCTTAACTCAAACACTCAAGAAACAAATAACACAACATAATAAAAAGGTTTTTACTTAGTCAAGGGCAATAAGTTTCATGACTCTAGGTCAAATACTTTTTGAGGTACATGCGACACAAAAGAGAACGGACAGACAGAAGAACAGACATGCCACTTAAATGGACTAAAGGGCCTTACTTTTTGTTATTTTCTTTTGTTTAATAGAGGGCCATGGCCCCTTATTCTATTGTTACAGAATGAACTCTATTGTTCTCTTTTGTTCTGTTTACAGTTAGATGGCCCCCTACTTCTCTTAGATAGCCCTGACAGCTGGACGGACGGACAAGAGTAAATCTAAATGACCCCCCCCCTAAAGTTGGGGCACAAAAATGATAATCAACTTAGCATGTATACAGCTACAATCACAAATTTGCTAAACTTTTTACATGAAAAACTACATGTAAAATCCTTTGTGTTAAATTGACTTCACAGAGAATGTGTTATAAACATTCGATTTTCACTATAGTGAGAGGCTACAAGCGGGGTGTGTGTATTGATCAAATTGAGGTGACAAACGGGGTAAATTACATAAAAAACTATGACATGTTTGTGAATTTAATTTTGGGGCCGGAAGAAACACGTAAAATATCGCAGAAATTAGCTATCCAGAGAAATAACCAGTTATATGGTTATTAAAAATCTTCTTGTCTGAAGGTACAAGGCTTAGAGCTTTGATATTATATATATATATTATCATCTATGGGTCCTCTACCAAAGTTGTTTAAGTTATGCCCCTAGTGTTAAAATTGCTCTGCTCAAGATGCGTTTGTAAAAACTTAAAAAATCTTCTTCTCTGAGTTGACAAAGGCTAGAGGTTAAATATTTGGCATGAGACCAAGACTGTTCAAATTATAGCTCTGGGGTCAAAATTGGCTCCGCCCAGGGGTCATTGATTTTCTTTATGTACACATAGAATTTTTTTTAAATCTTTTTGTCTGAAGGTACAAGGCTTAGAGTTTTGATGTTTGCTTTATAATATCATCCATAGGTCCTCTACAAAAGTTGTTCAAATTTTGCCCCTGGTGTCAAAATTGGCCCTGCCTAGGGGCATTGATTTTCATTATGTACATGTAGTAAAAACAGATACTAAAACAAATGTTTTCTGAATTGGAGAAAGCTACAGCTTAGATATTTAATATTAAATGTTGTTTGGTGGACCTATATCAAGATTGTTTGAATTAAACCCTTGGGTCAAAATTTTGCCTTTCCCTACTTTCTTGTCCTTTATTTGACTTACTTTCTTGTCCTTTGATGTGCAGCTTGTTAGTTTTGAACTCGTGTCACATGTAGACCAAAATATATTTGACCTAGAGTCAGAAGATTGACTAAACAGTGTAGTGTTGTGGCACCTGTGTCCTATGGACACATTTCCAGTGAACTTTTTTTTACAAGAAAATAAACAGACATAAGTAGTCAAGTACGATATTACAGTGCTTGAAATTTTTTCATTAATATATTTCAGAGAAAATTCAGTCCGTTCACTGGGATTGTGTTGTGTTCATTCACAAAAAAGAGGCTATCCACCAGGAGAGGGCGCTCATATTGCTGTCAGTAAGTATATAACAGATTCTAGCTCTTCCGTTTTTTATAGCCTTATGGTATATAGTAATTAAACTGTCAGTCCATCAGTCCTCCTGTATGCGTTGAAAGTCAAGTTCTACAGGAATGATCAATAGGTGACCCTTTACAGAAATTGTTCAAATTGTTCCTGGCTGTTGAACAAAATAGTCATAAGAGCTATAAATAGAAATAAGCTTTCAAACACATCTCCTCCTCAGCAACTTGGTAGATATTAGAAATAAATAAAAGAAATAAGCAATAAGAGCCATCATGGCCCTCATGTTTGTTATATAGTACTCAAAGTCTTGTATAAGATAGAATTAAGCTCATAGCTATGTAGCTTGTGTAAGATAATTATGTAGCTTGTGTAAGACGGCATTCAGTTCATAGCTATGCAGCTTGTGTAAGATGGCATTAAGCTCATAGCTTTGCAGCTTGTGTAAAATGGCATTAAGCTCATAGCTATGTAGCTTGTGTAAGATGGTATGAAGCTCATAGTTATGTAGCTAGTGAAAGATGGCATTTAGCTCATAGCTATGTAGCTAGTGAAAGATGGCATTAAGCTCATAGCTATGTAGCTTGTGTAAGATGGTATGAAGCTCATAGTTATGTAGCTTGTGTAAGATGGCATTAAGCTCATAGCTATGTAGCTTGTGTAAGATGGCATTAAGCTCATAGCTATGTAGCTTGTGTAAGATGGCATTAAGCTCATAGCTATGTAGCTAGTGTAAGATGGCATTAAGCTCATAGCTATGTAGCTTGTGTAAGATGGCATTAAGCTCATAGCTATGTAGCTTGTGTAAGATGGCATTAAGCTCATAGCTATGTAGCTAGTGTAAGATGGCATTAAGCTCATAGCTATGTAGCTAGTGTATGACTGCATTTAGCTCATAGCTATGTAGCTTGTGTAAGATGACATAAAGCTAATAGCTATGTAGCTTGTGTAAGATGGCATTAAGCTCATAGCTATGTAGCTAGTGTAAGATGGCATTAAGCTCATAGCTATGTAGCTTGTGTAAGATGGCATTAAGGTCATAGCTATGTAGCTAGTGTAAGATGGCATTAAGCTCATAGCTATGTAGCTTGTGTAAGATGGCATTAAGCTCATAGCTATGTAGCTTGTGTAAGATGGCATTAAGCTCATAGCTATGTAGCTTGTGTAAGATGGCATTTAGCTCATAGCTATGTAGCTAGTGTAAGATGGCATTTAGCTCATAGCTATGTAGCTAGTGTAAGATGGTATGAAGCTCATAGTTATGTAGCTTGTGTAAGATGGCATTTAGCTCATAGCTATGTAGCTAGTGTAAGATGGTTTGAAGCTAATAGCTATGTAGCTTGTGTAAGATTGCATTTAGCTCATAGCTATGAAGCTAATGTAAGATGGTATGGAGCTAATAGCTATGTAGCTTGTGTAAGATTGCATTTAGCTTATAGCTATGTAGCTTGTGTAAGATGGCATTAAGCTCATAGCTTTTAGCTTGTGTAAGATGGAATAGTCATAGCTACATGTATGTACCCCATGTAAAATGACCAATTAAGCTCAAAGCTATGTAGGTTGTGTAAGACAGCATTAAGCTTATAGCTATGAAGTTAGTGTAAGAGGGCATTTAGCTCATAGCTATGTAGCTTGTGTATGATGGCATTTACCTCATAGCTATGTAGCTTGTGTAAGACAGCATTAAGCTCATAGATATGAAGCTAGTGTAAGATGGCATTTAGCTCATAGCTTTGTAGCTTGTGTATGACTGCATTTAGCTCATAGCTATGAAGCTTGTGTAAGATGGCATTAAGGTCATAGCTATGCAGTTTATGTAAGATGGCATTAAGGTCATAGCTATGTAGCTTGTGTAAGATGACATTAAGGTCATAGCTACATGTATGTACCTCATGTAAAATGGCATTAAGCTCATAGCTATGTAAGTTGTGTAAGACAGCATTAAGCTTATAGCTATGAAGTTAGTGTAAGAGGGCATTTAGCTCATAGCCATGTAGCTTGTGTATGATGGCATTTAACTTATAGCTATGAAGCTAGTGTAAGATGGCATTAAGCTCATAGATATGCAGCTCGTGTAAGATGGCATTTAACTCATAGCTATGAAGCTAGTGTAAGAGGGCATTTACCTGATAGCTATGTAGCTTGTGTAAGGTGGCATTTAACTCAAAGCTATGAAGCTAGTGTAAGAGGGCATTTAGCTAATAGCTATGAAGCTAGAATAAGATGGCATTAAGCTCATAGTTATGTAGCTTGTGTAAGATTGCATTTAGCTCATAGCTATTTTGCTTGTGTAAGACGACATTTAGCTCATAGCTATGTAGTTTGTGTAAGATGGCATTTATCTCATAGCTATGTTGCTTGTGTAAGACAACATTTAGCTCATAGCTATGTAGCTTGTGTAAGACAGCATTTAGTTCATAGCTATGTTGCTTGTGTAAGATGGTATAAAGGTCATAGTTATGTAGCTTGAGTATGATGGTATTAAGGTCATAGTTATGTAGCTTGTGTAAGATGGCATTTAACTCATAGCTATGTAGCTTGTGTAAGAAGGCATTTAGCTCATAGCTATGTAGCTTGTGTAAGATGGTATTAAGGTCATAGTTATGTAGCTTTTGTAAGATGGCATTTAGCTCATAATTATGTAGCTTGTGTAAGATGGTATTAAGGTCATATCTATGTAGCTTGTGTAAGATGGCATTTAGCTCATAGCTATGTAGCTTGTGTAAGACTGCATTTAGCTCATAGCTATGTAGCTAGTGTAAGAGGGAATTTAGCTAATAGCTATGTAGCTTGTGTAAGATTGCATTAAGGTCATAGCTATGGAGCTAGTGTAAGGCAGCATTTAGCTCATAGCTATGTAGCTTCTGTAAGATGGCATTAAGGTCATAGCCATGCAGTTTGTGTAAGATGACATTAAGGTCATGGCTACATATATGTAGCTTATGTCAATTGGCATTGAGGTCATAGCTACATGTATGTAGCTTGTGTAAAATGGCATTAAGCTCATAGCTTTGTAGGTTGTGTAAGACCGCATTAAGCTCATAGGTATGAAGCTACTGTAAGAGGGCATTTAGCTCATAGCTATGTAGCTTGTGTAAGGTGGCATTAAGCTCATAGCTGTGCAGTTTGTGTAAGATGGCATTAAGGTCATAGCTATGTAGCTAGTGTAAGAGGGCATTTTGCTCATAGTTATGTAGCTTGTGTAAGATGGCATTAAGGTCATAGCTACATGTATGTACCTCATGTAAAATGGCATTAAGCTCATAGCTATGTAGGTTGTGTAAGACAGCATTAAGCTTATAGCTATGAAGTTAGTGTAAGAGGGCATTTAGCTCATAGCTTTGTAGCTTGTGTATGATGGCATTTAACTCATAGCTATGAAGCTAGTGTAAGATGGCATTAAGCTCATAGATATGTAGCTTGTGTAAGATGGCATTTAACTCATAGCTATGAAGCTATTGTAAGAGGGCATTTACCTGATAGCAATGTAGCTTTTGTAAGATGGCATTTAACTCAAAGCTATGAAGCTAGTGTAAGAGGGCATTTAGCTCATAGCTATGAAGCTAGAATAAGATTGCATTAAGCTCATAGTTATGTCGCTTGTGTAAGATGGCATTTATCTCATAGCTATGTTGCTTGTGTAAGACAACATTTAGCTCATAGCTATGTAGCTTGTGTAAGACGGCATTTAGCTCATAGCTATGTAGCTTGTGTAAGATGGTATTAAGGTCATAGTTATGTAGCTTGTGTAAGATGGTATTTAGCGCATAGTTATCTAGTTTGTGTAAGACGGCATTTAGCTCATAGCTATGTTGCTTGTGTAAGATGGTATAAAGGTCATAGTTATGTAGCTTGTGTAAGATGGTATAAAGGTCATAGTTATGTAGCTTTTGTAAGATGGCATTTAACTCATAGCTATGTAGCTTGTGTAAGAAGGCATTTAGCTCATAGCTATGTAGCTTGTGTAAGATGGTATTAAGGTCATAGTTATGTAGCTTTGTAAGATGGCATTTTGCTCATAATTATGTAGCTTGTGTAAGATTGCATTTAGCTCATAGCTATGTAGCTTGTGTAAGACGGCATTTAGCTCATAGCTGTGTAGCTTGTGTAAGATGGCATTTAACTCATAGCTATGTAGCTTGTGTAAGATGGCATTAAGGTCATAGCTTTGTAGCTAGTGTAAGATTGCATTAAGGTCATAGCTACATGTATGTAGGTTGTGTAAAATTGCATTAAGCTCATAGCTATGAAGCTAGTGTAAGATGGCATTTAGCTCTTAGCTATATAGCTACTGTGATATGGCATTTAGCTCATAGCTATGTAGCTTGTGTAAGATGGCATTTAACTCATAGCTATGTAGCTTGTGTAAGATGGCATTTAACTCATAGTTATGTAGCTTGTGTAAGATGGTATTAAGGCCATAGCTATGTAGCTTGTGTAAGATGGCATTAAGGTCATAGCTAGCCTATGTAGCTTGTGTAAGATGGTATTAAAGTCATAGCTATGTAGTTCGTGTAAAGTGGCATTAAGGTCATAGCTACATGTATGTAGCTCGTGTAAAATGGCATTAAGCTCATAGCTATGTAGCTTGTGTAAGACAGCATTAAGCTCATAGCTATGAAGCTAGTGTAAGAGTGCATTTAGCTCATAGCTGTGTAGCTTGTGTAAGATGGCATTTAGCTCATAGCTATGTAACTTGTGTAAGAAGGCATTTAGCTCATAGCTATGTAGCTTGTGTAAGATGGTATGAAGCTCATAGTTATGTAGCTTATGTAAGATGGCATTAAGGTCATAGCTACATGTATGTAGTTTGTGTTAAATGGCATTAAGCTCATAGCTATATAGCTTGTGTAAGATGGCATTAAGCTCATACATGTCATAGATATGTTAAGCATAGATATGTAGCTAATGTAAAAATAGGTTAATTCTGGTGCTGTTCTGTGTTTGAAAAATATAGGAAACAATTGGTCTAGATAATGAAATGATGGGTAGATGTACTGAAGTTGGTTAAACATCAGTGTAGAATATGGTCAGCCTGTGTAAAACATGTAGCTAGGTCTGTGTCAAAGGACGCTCAATTTTACCACTAATTCAATCAAAATTGTTATTATTCTGTGTAAAGAGTGACAATACACCCAAACATAGACTTTTCAAATATGTAGTCTGGTCTAGGTTATCTAATTTAGTGACCAAGGACATTCATTTTTATCAGTAGAGAATTAGATTTTCTTTTTTTTTTTTGCATAAAAAGAGGCCAAATTTAGGCCTTTTCCCATTGACATAACTGTTGAAACAACAACTAAATAACAAAAAAACAAAAAAAAACCATCACTTTTTATATGTAAGTTGAAATTAATAAAAGTGTATGTTTTGATAAGTTGGTTTAATTTTCCCTATTTTCTTCATAGCCTTAGTGCTAGATATTTCTGAATGAAAATTGCAAGGTATGTTCAAAAAAAGATGAAGAAGAAGAAAAAATAAGTAAGAGTTAATTATTTTTGTTACAGGAACTGTGAGGAGATTCCTGGAGAGATATGGCAGTGATGTTGATGTTATAATCTTTGTCTGTGATGATGAAACTTATGTAAGTTAACAGAACTTTTTAACTTAATATTATTTTAATTTCTAAATGTTTGAAAAAGCTTGTAAGTATCAACTAGACATGGAATTTTGTGATGTGATAGCTGATGGAGGTCTGCACAGGTCACATGGGTAGATTCATTTGCTGTCAGCATTCTAAAGATTAAAGTTAATTCAGCAGAGAATAAATTTATTCGATATCATTTGGTCTAATGACATATCACATTTTATTTTGTGTTTTATAAAAAGGTATAGAGAAATAAAACATGATATATTCAATGATTACATTAATTAAAATATCATTTTATACTTTCACTATTTTAGGATAAAAAAAAAGGGAATTATTTTCTGTAAGGTGACCAAAAAATAAAAATATTTTAAAAGTAGAACTGAAAAGCAATGTATTGAAATGTTGTATTTCACTTGTCACGGAAATTAGACTTTACAATCTGGAAAAAGGGGAGATCCAACCAAAAAAGGATGAATAATCGAAATAAATGAAAACAGTAAAATTATATAAAAAATTACAGACTTTGTTTAATGTAGTGTGTTTTTGAGAGATAAATATTCAACATCTGTGACACTCCCTTGACATCACCATATGTTATACATGTACTTATAAACGTTGATAAAACATTCTTGTTGAAAAAAAATAACTATCCCATCCAGCCAGTTATGTATGTTTATTATTCTTCAAAAAGTTTAAGAGGATATTTTTTTCGTTTATATGGAATATATTAATTACAAAACATGATAAAATGCCACATATTTCCACAAGCCGGGAAGGCAAGTGAAAATATGTGGAATTTTATTATGTTGAGTGAAAACATATACCATATTTCACAAAAATTATAAAAATATCCTGTTGATTTAATTTCATTATCAAAGAAAATGGTTACAAACACCATTAATTGCTTGCTTAAGGCAACAGTTTTCTGCAATTGTACAGCGCGCAGTAATATATTATTGCGTCTTGTTTTGCACGCGATATTTGGCGCTACATTGTGACATCACATAACTCTTTAAATGTTACTACAGCTTTAATTAAAGATATTGGTGTTCAGATTAATTTTCTTAGTTAGACCAATTTTTATCATTCTAGATAGTTTTCAAAACGAAATTCAACAAAAAGTTGTTTTGCATTTATCAGATTTTTCAAAAAAATTTTTTTTTTGAAAATATATTAAATGTATTTGACTGATATAGTACCATATTTCATGGGTAAAATTAAGTAATGCAATTTGTTCTCGAAACTTATAATAAAAAATATTTATTATTTCTTCCTATTTGTTAGTTTTAAAAACAATTTTATCTAAGAGAATGAAAATAATTGAGTAATGTTTTTTTGTTTTGTTTGGTTTTACAGGGCACCAGCACAATTTATGTCATATGGTGATTTTGGCTAACCTTGGGTGCTACAAACTTTAAGTAACACCAGGGTCAAAACCACATCACCTGTCGGACCTAAGAGATGCATGGACTCCAGTAATTCAAACCCATTTACTTGTCTCATATGATAAAATAGGGATAAACGGTGGCTGCAATGCTGCTGCCTCAACCCATAAAAGCAACCACTCAGCTACAAATGAAAAATGAGTGAAATACTTTAATATATACATGTTTATTTTTCAGTCTGTGTATGAAACAGTTTTACCTCTATATTTTCCTCGAAATCCACAAGAACAGAGAGAGAGTTTGTCCCGGCTCCCTGAAGATATCGGCAATGAAATGGGGGAACCAGTTATACCAGAAAGACAAATTAGAATCAGTGATAAACCAACATTTAATCCTGCCGGTATTATCTCCCTTTGTTAATATACAAGTATTGACTAGTGAGAAATAGATCAATTATTTTTAGCACAACTATTCAAAGAATAAGAGCTGTTGTACTCACACAGTTGTCAGCATGGAAGTTAGACACACTTCTGTGAAGTTTTTGCATGCAAGATGCAATCTGCTAAACTACTAAAGGGAATTGGTTGAAATTTCCTTACTTTCTAAAACAGCTACAATAAATCACCAATATTAACAGTCCAAGGGAGAGAACTTTAAAAAACAATCTGATACCAAATTTTTATCACACTGCTCATTTTTACTGAATATGTAAACCTAAATATATAAGAACAGACCAAACATAAATAATAATAAGTTTTTAAAGGTTTTTGGGAATAAATCCAATCAATTATTCAGTAAACATGTGTTAAAATGGATTCTTACACTTCTGTGAAGTTTTTGCATGCAAGATGCAATCTGTAAAACTATTGAAGGGAATAGGTTAAAATTTCCTAACTTTCTAAAACAGCTGCAATAAATCATCACCAATATTAACAGTCCAAGGGAGAGAACTTTAAAAAACAATCTGATACCAAATTTTTATCACACTGCTCATTTTAACTGAATAAGTAAACCTAAATATATTAGAAAAGACCAAACATAAATAATAATAAGTTTTTAAAGGTTTTTGGGAATAAATCCAATCAATTATTCAGTAAAACATGTGTTAAAATGGATTCTACAATAAAATATTCACAAAGTGACCAAAGAATAGGATTTATCTACTCTCCCCTTTGAAGTGAGCAATAAATAGCTTATTTTTTTTATTATACAAGTTTTCTGCATCTATATATATTATAAATACAAAAAAAGACCAAATATAGGACATCTAAAGATTAAATATTAAGCTATCTTTGGTTAATTTGTACAATTTTCCATCCCTTTTCAGGTAACTAGACCTATATAGTGGTATAAACTATAACCATGAACAATACAAGAAAAAAATGCTTTTGGTATAGCGGGGGTTCAGAGACTTTTTATGTTCTCCTCCAGGTCCATTCGGGTCCATTTGACTGGGGGGGGGGGCAAGAATTCTCTCACCCCTAGGGTGCCCTGTTTATTCAGGGAGGGGGGAGATATATATGCTATGTTGCCAGGAGGGGCTGATTACCAAAATTTTTGTAATCTTTTTATTCAAATTTAAATCCCAATCTCTAAGCAACTAGTTTAAATGGAAGTAGATATCGAGGATGGTTGACCTGAGCGTGTGGATTGACCAAACATCACAAGAAAACCTGACTGACTTTTTCTAAATACACTGTAATTATAATGTAGTTAATATATACTATTAAACTCCAGCAAATTAACAAATAAACTAATATATGTAATAAATTTAGATTCAACTACTTTAAATAATATATCTGTGGTGAATCATGCTTAATAAATAAGTTTTGTAATGTAAACAATCATGTTTTTAACATCACTTGGCACTATATGCTCTACATACTGTACAGCATAACATAATATACATGGTTTGTTAAAATAACACTACTGAGGGGGTCATAGGTCAAAGTCTTGAGCTTGAAGTCAAAATCGAATAGTAATTGGACCAATCAAAACACAGGAGACTACTGTGCCGGTTCATCAGAACAACTCTTATATCGGGAGTTTGGTCGGACTATAACTAATGAAGACAAAGGAGACAACACCTTCTCCACCAATCAGCAAAGTTAACAGTCTACAATGTTTGGCCATTGAAAATGGCATTATGATTATTATTTTTTGCTGTCAAGTTGAGTTGAATTAGTAATATATTTTGAAAGATAGACTATTAACATGGTGCTTGACCAATAAGTGATAATGAAAAATGTTAAAGTGACATTATGCCCATCCATGGGTAGATATAGAGTGAACAGTTGAAAGTCAAAATAAGTTAACATTTTCGCATAATTATGCCCCCACTTCGAAGAAGAGGGCCCCCACTTCTAAGAAGAGGGGGTATATTGCTTTGCACTTGTCGGTCAGTCCCGTTGTCAGTCCGTCGGTCCTCAGACCAAATGGTTACCGAGTGATAACTAAAGAACCCTTAGGCCTAGGAACTTCAAACTTGGTATGGTGATTGGTCATGTCCAGTAGATGATTGATTTTGGGGTCAAGGGGTCAAAGGTCAAGGTCATATTGACCTTGTAAGCAAAAACGGTTTCCGATCAATAATTAAAGAACCTTTAGGCCTAGGAACATCAAACTTGGTATGGTGATTGGTCATGATCAGTAGATGACCCCTATTGATTTTGGGGTCAAGGGGTCAAAGGTCAAGGTCATAATGACCTCTTAGGTAAAAATTGTTTCCGATCAATAACTAAAGAACCCTTAGGCCTAGGGACTCTAAACTTGATATGGTGATTGGTCATGATCAGTAGATGACCCCTATTGATTTGAGGGTCAAGGGGTCAAAGGTCAAGGTCACATTGACCTCTTAGGTAAAAACGGTTTCCAATCAAAAACTAAAGAACCCTTAGGCCTAGGGACTCTAAACTTGATATGGTGATTGGTCATGATCAGTAGATGACCCCTTTTGATTTTGGGGCCAAGGGGTCAAAGGTCAAGGTCACATTGACCTCTTAGGTAAAAATGGTTTCCGATCAAAAACTAAAGAACCCTTAGTCTTAGAAACTTCAAACTTGGTATGGTGATTGGTCATGACCAGCAGATGACCCCTATTGATTTTAGGGTTAAGGGGTCAAAGGTCAAGGTCACATTGACTTTGTAGGTAAAACGGTTTCCGATCAATAACTAAAGAACCCTTAGGCCTAGGAAATTCAAATTTGGTATGGTGATTGGTCATGACCAGCAGGTGACCTGTTGATTTTGGTCAAGGGGTTAAAGGTCAAGGTCACATTGACCTTGTAGGTAAAATCGGTTTACGATCAATTAACTAAAAACGCTTAGGCTTAGGAACTTCAAACTTTGTATGATGATTGGTTGTGACCAGCAGATGACCCCTATTGAGTTTTTGGTCAAGGTGCCAAAGGTCAAGGTCACATTGACCTTTTAAGTTAAAACGGTTTCTGATCAATAACTAAAGAACACTTAGGCCTAGGAACTCTAAACTTTGTATGGTGATTGGTCATGACCAGCAGATTACCCCTATTGATTTTGGGATCAAGGGGTCAAAGGTCAAGGTCACATTGACCTTGTAAGTAAAAACAGTTTCTGATCAATAACTAATGAACGCTTTGGCCTAGAAACTTCAAACTTTGTATGATGATTGATCATGACCAGTAGATGACCCTTATTGATTTTGGGGTCAAGGGGTCAATGTCATATTGACCTTGTACTTAATGACAGTTTCTGACCAATTACTCAACAACTCAAGTTGCCTTGGTTGATATTTTTATATTAAACTAAAAATGCTTTTGGTATACACATTTGAAGGTCTTATGTAATATGACAACTTGGCTTTCATTAATGAGGCCTACTTGATTCATAAAATTTATGCATATATTATTTGGTAAGATTTGTAATAACTTAAATTGCTGCACACAGCCTACTTGTCATGACCAGTAGATACTAGATAACCCTTATTAATTGTTTGTTCACTGGATCAGAAGTCATGCATAATAACCTGATCACATGACTAATTGGCTGCCGATAGGGGGCATACATGTTTTACAAACATATCTTGTTCCTTTCAATTTTATAATTTACTTCACATGAACGATAAATAACTCAATAGGCCCTGTGAAATGTGTGTAAATATCCATCAAAATGTATCTATAAAAAGAGTAGGGCAGTCTTTTTTATGTATTTAGGAAGATTTATTTTTATACCCCCGCATAACAAAGTTGTAAGGGGGTTGTAAGGGGGGTATACTGGAATCAGATTGTCCGTCCGGCCATCAGGCCGTCTGGCCGGCCGGCGTCCGTCGGTTTTTTCTTGTCCGCCCAATAACTAAAGATTCCTTTGACCCACAGTCTTCATATTTGGCATGGAGGTTAGTCATGATTAGTAGATGACCCCTTTTGATTTTGAGGTCACCAGGTCAAAGGTCAAGGTCACAGGGGCCTTGACTTCAAAAAGCTTGTCCGCCCAATAACTTAAGATTCCTTTGACCCACAGTCTTCATATTTGGCATGGAGGTTAGTCATGATAAGTAGATGACCCCTATCGCTTTTGAGGTCACCAGGACAAAGGTCAATGTCACAGAGGCCTTGACTTTAAAAAGCTTGTCCGCCCAATAACTTAAGATTCCTTTGACCCACAGTCTTCATATTTGGCATGGAGGTTAGTCATGATAAGTAGATGACCCCTATCTATTTTGAGGTCACCAGGTCAAAGGTCAAGGTCACAGGGGCCTTGACTTCAAAAAGCTTTTCGCCCAATAACTTAAGATTCCTTTGACCCACAGTCTTCATATTTGGCATGGAGGTTAGTCATGATAAGTAGATGACCCCTATTGATTTTGAGGTCACCAGGTCAAAGGTCAAGGTCACAGGGGCCTTGACTTCAAAAAGCTTGTCCGCCCAATAACTTAAGATTCCTTTGACCCACAGTCTTCATATTTGGCATGGAGGTTAGTCATGATAAGTAGATGACCCCTATTGATTTTGAGGTCACTGGGTCAAAGGTCAAGGTCACAGGGGCCTTGACTTCAAAAAGCTTGTCCGCCTAATAACTTAAGATTCCTTTGACCCACAGTCTTCATATTTGGCATGGAGGTTAGTCATGATAAGAAGATGACCCCTATTGATTTTGAGGTCACTGGGTCAAAGGTCAAGGTCACAGGGGCCTTGACTTCAAAAAGCTTGTCCGCCCAATAACTTAAGATTCCTTTGACCCACAGTCTTCATATTTGGCATGGAGGTTAGTCATGATAAGTAGATGACCTCTATTGATTTTGAGGTCACTGGGTCAAAGGTCAAGGTCACAGGGGCCTTGACTTCAAAAAGCTTGTCCGCCCAATAACTTAAGATTCCTTTGACCCACAGTCCTTATATTTGGCATGGAGGTTAGTGATGATTAGTACATGACCCCTATCGATTTTGAGGTCACCAGGTCAAAGGTCAAGGTCACAGGGGCCTTGACTTCAAAAAGCTTGTCCGCCCAATAACTTAAGATTCCTTTGACCCACAGTCTTCATATTTGGCATGGAGGTTAGTCATGATTAGTAGATGACCCCTATTGATTTTGAGGTCACCAGGTCAAAGGTCAAGGTCACAGGGGTCTTGACTTCAAAAAGCTTGTCCGCCCAATAACTTAAGATTCCTTTGACCCACAGTCTTCATATTTGGCATGGAGGTTAGTCGTGATTAGTAGATGACCCCTATTGATTTTGAGGTCACCAGGTCAAAGGTCAAGGTCACAGGGGCCTTGACTTCAAAAAGCTTGTCCGCCCAAAAACTTAAGGTTCCTATGACCCACATTCTTCATATTTGGCATGGAGGTTAGTCATGATTAGTAAATGATCCGTATTGATTTTGAGGTCACTGGGTCAAAGGTCAAGGTCACAGGGACCTTGTCAAAATAAAGCTTTTCCCCAATGCCTGTCCAGAGTGTATTGATTTTGACATTTTCACATTTGAAGCATGTAGAATACATAACTTAGCAATGCACTAACTTAGTCACCTCAGACTTGGCAGGTTGGTTGTCCTTGAGTTCTAAATGGCCACTGTTGATTCTGACAAAGTGGCATGCGGGGGTATTCACGCCATGATAGTGGCAGTTCTAGTTTACCCTAAACATTTTCAAATATCATATGTGTTTGTCAATCACCATTATAACAACATGAACAAGTTTACTGAAATACATAGTCAATTAAAGTCAATTTGACAATGAAAAAATGAGCATAATGTCACTTTGATATATAAACGATCAAAGTTGTAAAAAGACCGTCCCACTTTTTTTCATGAATTAAACATTACTGTATCAGTAGGAATTCTGAAGGATTTTTATAGGCATTTCAGTCTATCATATGAATGACTGATTATTTTTTTCATAGTAAATTCAAAAATTGAACACAAGTATGACAAAATGTCAAGTTATTTTGAGTAATCCCTCTTGAACTCTTGAAAAAAAATGCAAAAGAAATTTCAGTTTCCATTAATTATCTCCCCAACAGTTATACAATTTCAACTCAAATTTTATATATGGATAAAGTATCCACTTCCATCCGTACTTATACCTACACTTTTCTCTCAATTACAGGTCCACAGAAAGAAGATGAATTCGAGAAGACAGTAGATTTGAACGAGGAGTTTGGAAAGTCTATAAATGGGTCAGTAGGTCAACATCCCTTCGCCAGCATGCAGGAACATCCTGATGACCAGAAACAGCGCAACCCAAGGACAGTAAATGAGGTCAAACATATAGAACAGCAGAAAAGGTATACAACCAGTCAATTACATCAATCAAGTAGGATATTAGTGTTAGAAAAATAGGTTTTTATTTATTACTTTATTTACAAGCGGGAATATTTTTCATTTAATTTGTCAGTTAATTTTTTACCATTTTGCCAGATTATTGAGCACTATTTTTTCCATTTTGTGTCACCTTTTTGTAGTGGCTGATGGAGATAGATTCAAAGATCATAAAGTCAAATGTGTACAATTCTTTACCTCAATGGACTTCTTAGTTAAAACAGATATCACTTTTGTCTCCTTTTTTACAAAATCATCTTATATCCACTTGTTTGACAGTGAAAGGTTGTTAAAATACCCTCATAAATTTTAGGGGTGTGATAAGGTATTTAAAAGTTCTCATATGTGATATGATTACAGGTATGAGAGGTTATTAAAACGGGCTCGGACTGAAGATCTTACAGAGATTTCAGCTTTGCGTTGTCTTTATCGGACTGGTCAGGATAGATTTGGACGCCCTGTTATTGTGTTTGTGGGTAAAAACTTTCCAGCTCATACTGTGGATATGGAAAAGGTAAAATCTTTGAAAATACACTTTTTGTTCCCTGGTTTAGATTACTTTAAATCATACCAACTCTGTTAAGGTCAAATAATTACTCTTTCCCTAGCGGGATATCTTATACAGTATATGTGGATTATTCTGCAGTGACTTTATTACTGGGTATTCTGCGGTCAGTTTCAGCACGGCAGAAATAAAAAAATACAGAATATTTCTCAATTATTTGGTTATAAACCTGTCATGATATATGTCCTACATTATGATCTGTGTCGTCTAAAGTGATATCAACTAACAGATTATAACGGTTGAGGGGTCATCAAGTTGTGTAAAACTGCTGCCAGCAATGTTTGAAAGGATGTATTTATTGTTATAAATTATGTCAATTTATAATGATGAAAAAATTTGCAGCAGAAATCAAGTCAGCAGAAATAAAAACATGCCAAAATTTGAAAAAAAACACGGAATTTAGAGCCCACAGAAAAAACAACTTATATGGTAATATTCCCTCCCTTTATAATTATTTAAGACAAGAGCAGATGAGATACTGCAAAATCAGAATCATTTGTGGGGTGCTTTTTTTCCTGGTTTTCTTGGATTAATTAATCTACAAATTTAAGATCCATTGCAATTTTATTTCACCTGCTGTAAGATGTTTTAACATTATTTGTATTTAATTATCTTTTTCGTCTTCTTCAAAAACAGAAAACCCAAATTTAAGGGCCAATGAAATCTTTACATTTTTGTCAAAAACCGTAAAATTAAGTGAATTCACAATAGTAATGTAAGAACTAGTAAGAATTGCAAGTTGTACATATATGTGTGTAGTCTATATTAAATGAGGGTTCATCTGCCAGCAAGGCACAAACAGAGCAGCTTTCATTGTCGAGCATGGATTGAACTTTGAAGCACAAAGGGGTGAAAACTTACCTCCATTCAATTTCCACCTACTATTTGCCAGAGAAATAAATTTTTAGCCAAAAGTAGGTCACTGTATGGTGGTCAATGAGAATCTAAAAGTATAAAAACCTGAAACAAAATAAGAAAAGAATGTAGCCCTTTAAAAGGGCTGTAGGTGCCAAGCAAAGGGTCTGCCTTTTAAGTTGTCATTCTAATTAGGGGCTCATGCACCCTAGTACACCATCCTCATTGACTCTGCCTACTTCGTAGGGTCACTTCTCTCGGCATTAGTTAGGACTCCGGCAGCTGGTCCACAGAACATGATTTTGAAAATGTTAATAACTTTTAACTTTTCAGTGAAATACGAATTTTTCTGGCTGAAAAATATAACTCTATATCTAATTCTATAAGAATGTACAGTCTACAAGAAACATAGAGAAAAAAAGATGATTTTACCATGCTATGAATTGTTGTTTTATTTTCAGGCATTGTTATATATGATACGGTTAATGGATCCAATTGTGGACAGAGATTATGTTGTCGTGTATTTCCACACACAGACCAGTAATGAAAATCTACCACCTATGAACTACTTAAAAAATGTCTATCATACCTTAGATCATAAGTAAGTATATAATTATCTAAACATTATTTTGTTTTAAACAAGAGTCAGGAAGGAACTAATAGTAATAATATTTCACCAAATAATAGGTTAGAATAATTAATGTCTTTAAGTTTCAATTATAACAATAATCTTCATAAGTATTAGTATTTAAGTTTGGCTGATTTTGAAAAAAGCTTGTAATTTATTTGTACAATCATCCTGGGCTGTGCTTCATAGAAAGTTGTTAGTGTATCCTAAGACCTAAGACTTATGTAAACTATAGGACTAAGTTAAGACCATTTCAACAAATATTTACATCTTTAGTAAAAAGTTTATTTAGACTTTTATCTAATTCATTCTCCTGAGAAAATTGCAAAATCTAGAGGCATGCGCTTTATACCATAATGTAAAAATGTTCATCTGCATGGCTATTCAGAGATAATGGGGCATACAAACACTGATTTTCCATGAAATGCAACCTGGAATCTGGAACATAAGATAATGGGGCATACAAACACTACAGAAGCTGTGTAGTGTTGCTGTCAATTTGACAGCCCATTGATAAGTTACAGTTATGTCTATTCCTATAATTATTCTTTTATTATAGAAAAACTTATATCATTGATTTTCATAACATCATGTTAAGACCATTTAAATAGATATCGATATCCAGTTGGTTTATATTGTCTCTTACATCAATAACTAAGGAGAAAGTAAATGAGCTGTGTGACGGCAAAACCACCATAGTGGATTTGTGACCAGCATGGATCCAGACCAGCCTGCGCCTCGACTCGGTCTGATCAGGATCCATGCTGTTTGCTACAGTTTCTCTACTTGTAATAGGGTTTGTAAGCAAACAGCATGGATCCTGATCAGATTGCGCAGATGCGCAGACTGGTCTTGATCCATGCTGGTCGCAAACACATTACGTTGGTTTTGTCATGATGCGGCTCATTAATCTATTTTCACTAAGATAAACATGACAAAATGGTAGCATGTGAGGGTGTTTGGATGAAAAGATAACATGGCTCAAATCTTAATTTCATTGTCGTGTTATGTCTCAGCTTGAATTGAAAGGGTCTAAACAGGAATCATTGTCCTTACTGGAGTAGGGCTCAATTCCATGATCTATTTCTTGAGAGGCAGACATCTATATTAGAAGACCACAACTCCAATTTTTATGCTTCATTTATTTTATAGATATATATACACAAAATACAATCAGGGGACAATAAGGAAATATAACAAAAGGCATTATGGAAAGCACTATGGGTAGTAATATAAAAAAATCCTCAATATTATTTATACCTTACCTTGCTGAGTTTATGTCTTTTCCGTGCCTTGAAAACAGACATTTCCATGCCTGGAATTTAGAACAGCCTATAAATGGACAATTTTATATCAAAATGTTGAAAATGTATATAGAAATTTTCAAAAAAAGCTCACATATGGTGACATTATTGATTTGACGGAGATCAGCTGTCAAAAATGTTTACGTTTAATTTTCACTCCACTTTCTTTTCAGTCAGTCTCTAGCTTACATTTGAACAGGTAAAAACACAGAACATGAGACATATTTCACAATAAAATAGGTTGAATCATTTTTTATATTGGGGGATTGTTATAGTTTGCACTATTAAATCATGATTATGTTCATAAATTTATACTTTTCAGATATAAGAAAAATTTGAAGTCATTCTACATTGTACATCCTACATGGTGGTCAAAGGTAAGCACTACTAAGGGTAAGGGGGTCACAAATGTAGTTCAGGCATTTCAGAATAGTATTTCCTGTATAGATCATGATGGTAAAACAAAACAGAGGCTATTTTTGCTTGTTTGATATCGGGCATTGGCTTGACTTTCTATATATAGAATATATTGAATGAGTGTAAATTCAAAGAATGAGTTGAATAAAATTATATTATACGAGCCTCTGGCGAATATAACATTCTATTTTTGCATACTAGTACCATAAATACAGACTGCTTAAAGTGAAAAAGAATCACTTTTTCATTGACATGTCTGAAGTGTAATGTTCATATATATAACGCAAAAGAGGTCAAAATGTATGCATGGCCTTGCAAAACCATTTTTATTGAGTCGCAAAAGCAGCACTGACGTGTGATAAAAGTGCATAGCTAGCCCACTCACTCTGGTGATATTGTTAGTATAACATTTGTTTAATAATCCTTACCCAATAGATATCTTAAACGGACTTGCCCATCTTTCATTCTGAACAAAACCATTTGTCATTTTTATGGAAAAATTCAAAATAATTACTGACTGAATAGCAAAAAAGTGCGAAGCATATTCATACCTTTGGTCTGCGAGGTATAAATTTTCCCATCCAGCTTGTAGTGAAACACAAAGCCTCAGAAACCTACTACAACCTGCTTTTTGTATTTGTTTTATGGATACAGTATTTCATTCCCAGGCATAGAATGAAAGTTTCTGAGTAAATATTCTGTGTAAAATAACCATGATTTTAACTCAAACATCTGTTGTCAAGTTAATTGTCAAAGTTAAGTTTATGAACAAATGAATATAATAATGCTTAAATATTTATTGCCTTCAAAGTTTTTATCACTGTATGAAACCAGTATTTTTCATTTTCTATTTCAGTTTGCAACATGGTTTTTCACAACATTTACAGCATCAGATATCAAACAGAAAGTTCACTCACTTAAAGGTGTACAATTTCTATATGCCAAGATAAATCCAGATCAACTTGATATACCTCCATTCGTTTTAGATCATGATATACAGGTATTAAGTTACTTTGATTAACCATGATATACAGGTATTTAATGACTTTGATAAATCATAATATACGGGTTATTACTTTGATAAACCATGTACATGTAATTAGTTACTTTGATAAACCATGGTTTACAGAATAACTTTGATAAACCATGATATACAGGTAATTTATCAATATGATGAACCATGATATGTAGGTAATGTATCAATTTGTCAAATCTTTTATGTTATTGTTGACATTAGAAATAGACAAATGAATCATCTTTGAGATATTAAGGAAAAATAGGAACTTCCAAAGTTTTTATGCCTCCAAAAGGTGGCATATTAAAAATCCCCACTTGCACAACATTTTGTAACATCATTTTAAAATAACTTGGCATAAATATCTACTACATCATGATGATGTGTCACCTCTCAGAGACATGTCCCTACCTCAAATGTCAAGGTCACATAGATTGGAGGTTCACATTCACACAGAGTTAAAAGGTACACACATTCAAGTTAGGACTGTAACATTGCATAGAAGGTCTTTTAAATAACCTAGCATGTATGTCTACCACATTAAGAAGAGGAATTTTGTCTAAGACCCATGTCCTTAACTCCAAGGTCAAGGTGGTTAGTCTGCTATGAGTAGCATTTTATTTCACAAGAACAATATTAAGCAATTAGTTACTTTTATGCTCTTTTCTTTTCATTATTCTGCCGTACTTACAAAACCTTTCCGGGGCATTCTTCAGTTTTGCAAGACAGCTCTTGTTTACTCTTTCAATAGCTGGAGAATTGAATATCTTTATGTAATATGATAATTAAAAAAGAAGAATAAAGTATGTAAAGTGTTTTATCTCATACTTGTGGTCAGTTGCTAGTAATTATAATTAACAAGTCCAAAAAAAAAAAGTAACTGTAATAAATATGTTATGCTGTATGAATATTTATCTTTTTTTTTCCAGGAAAATGGGCCGAGATATTTTGTGCCATTTGAAGAAGGTACCGTTGAAGATTTGTGATAAAGTATAGAGACATCTACTAGGATATATGTATTCTACAAATATCAAATATTTTAGTCTGTGATTTTGGAAGCAAGCTTTGCTATATATATGTAAAGCAGGGGAAAAACATTTAATCTTATTGGATGAAATTTTTTTATAGTATTTATGGTCAGACTGATTCTTTTTTTTTGCTCTTTTATCAGCGTTTTAGTCTTATCATTTGTAGCTTTTGTATTATTGAGAAAGCAGGGGCTCTAACTAGAGCAAGGGCTTTAACTATATAAGGCTTTTTGTATCGGAGTTATTGCTCATTGCTATACTAATGCATTCCATGGTAGTTTGTTTTGAAAGAGTATTTTTTGTGATTTCTTTAAAGGAACTCCACTGAGGTCCAAAGCCCAAAAATATGTAATTTGAATTTCTTACAAAGATCTGCTGGGGCACTTAAAATAGAAAGATAGGCAAAAGATAATTTAGAAATATGCTCAGAAATAAATTGAAAATTGTATTTTTATGCTATTCTTAGTTTGATTTGAGAGAAAAGTGTTGTAACACTTTTCAATTTTAGGTCATTTTTCACAATAAGAATAATTATTCTGAAAAAGGGAATAAGCAAGTGATCTGAAATTTATGCACACAAGTTATTGGTCTAGGCTTACATCAAATAGATCATTAAGCTCGAAAAAATATTTCCAGTCTGGCCAGGTCAAGAAACCTTGATGGAGTCCATTTAACATAATAAACATTTTTTCCTTTATTTTAGAAATTTGTGAAAGCATTATTCCTGTTTTAAATGTAGTGCAAATGAATTATATTGTTATATTAAAATGATAAAAAAAGGTATGAATCAATCAATGCTGTACAAAATAGATCTATATATTGATATGTATGAAATCAATATTTTTGGCTTGTTTTTGAAGGGTAAAAACTGGTAGAAGATGGAACATTTAAAGTATCAAAAATCAGTTAAAGTATCTAGCATGTTTGGAAACATAACATACATTTAACCAAACCAATGACTCATTTATAATGATAATTTGCATAATATAATAATGAGATTTTTTCACACACTTTATTCATTGTGTCAATATGTAGTTTAAGACACATGGAAAAACTTTGGTATATAATGGTTACTCATTATTATTTTGTAAGGGTCATGTATAACAAACCCGCTATTGATAATGTTCTTAGAGTGTTTGAATATGCATAGGTAAAATTACAAAATGGGCTTATGAAAATAAAAATTTCAGTTGTCAACAAAAGCTATGAAACTATCCTCACTTAGGTAACTATCTTTTTAGCTCGACTATTCGATAAGAATAAGTAGAGCTATTGCAGTCACCCGAGCGTCAGCGTCGGCGTCGGCGTAACCACTTATGTTAAAGTTTTTGTAATAGTTCAAATATTTTCAAAGTCCATAGACATATGGCTTTGAAACTTTGCACACTTGTTCACCATCATGACCCCAACCTGTAGACAGGAGGAGGTAACTCTATCAAGCATTTTGACAGAATTATGCCCCTTTTTCGACTTAGAATTTACGTTAAAGTTTTTGTAATAGTTCAAATATTTTCAAAGTCCATTGACATATGGCTTTGAAACTTTGCACACTTGTTCAACATCATGACCCCAACCTGTAAACAGGAGGAGGTAACTCTATCAAGCATTTTGACAGAATTATGCCCCTTTTTCCACTTAGAATTTACGTTAAAAATTTTGTAATAGTTCAAATATTTTCAAAGTCCATTGACATATGGCTTTGAAACTTTGCACACTTGTTCAACATCATGACCCCAACCTGTAATCAGGAGGAGGTAACTCTATCAAGCATTTTTACAGAATTATGCCCCTTTTTCGACTTAGAATTTACGTTAAAGTTTTTGTAATAGTTCATATATTTTCAAAGTCCATTGACATATGGCTTTGAAACTTTGCACACTTGTTCACCATCATGACCCCAACCTGGAAACAGGTGGAGGTAACTCTATCAAGCATTTTGACAGAATTATGCCCCTTTTTCGACTTAGAATTTATGTTAAAGTTTTTGTAATAGTTCATATATTTTCAAAGTCCATTGACATATGGCTTTGAAACTTTGCACACTTGTTCACCATCATGACCCCAACCTGGAAACAGGTGGAGGTAACTCTATCAAGCATTTTGACAGAATTATGCCCCTTTTTCGACTTAGAATTTACGTTAAAGTTTTTGTAATAGTTCATATATTTTCAAAGTCCATTGACATATGGCTTTGAAACTTTGCACACTTGTTCACCATCATGACCCCAACCTGTAAACAGGAGGAGGTAACTCTATCAAGCATTTTGACAGAATTATGCCCCTTTTTCGATTTAGAATTTACGTTAAAGTTTTTGTAATAGTTCAAATATTTTCAAAGTCCATGAAACATATGGCTTTGAAACTTTGCACACTTGTTCACCATCATGACCCCAACCTGTAAACAGGAGGAGGTAACTCTATCAAGCATTTTTTTTACTATCAAGCACTAAGAATAGTCGAGCGTTGCTGTCCTACCGACAGCTCTTGTTTCTTAAGTTATTACCTATCGTAAAATGCTCAAAGAAAACTCAAAACTAAACCAAAGGAATTATTTTTTCTTAATGAATACAATGGAATATGCCCAGGCACTATTGTTATTGAAATGTTGTTATTACAGGTGTATCCATAAAATGTCAATATACATGTTTATCAGGCTATAACTTGGTATAAAATATGAAAGTCTATCTCATGTGATAAAATACCCAAGCTTCAGAAAAAGTGATGATTTTTTAGCTTGTCTGTTTCAAAGAAAAGGTCAAGTTATTATGATTGCTGCATAGTTGCCTTGCTAAATTAATGTAGCCTATGATTCAAATGATTTTAAAAGGTATAAGCATGAAACTTGGCATACTTGCTTATCATGACAAAGTGCAGTTATAAGACAAAGGGTATTATTCTAAAAGCTTTATTATGGAGTTATGCTTCTTTTAAACTTTGTTAAAAAAACTTGGTCAGAATTTGAGCCGCATCACGACAAAGCCAACATAATGGGTTTGCCACCAGCATGGATCCAGACCAGCCTGCGCATCTGCGCAGTCTGATCAGGATCCATGCTGTTCGCTTACCAATCCTATTACAAGTAGAGAAACTGATAGCGAACAGCATGGATCCCGATCAGACTGCGCGGATGCGCAGGCTGGTCTGGATCCATGCTGGTCGCAAACTCATTATGTTGGTTTTGTCGTGACACGGCTCATTTGTTATTGATAGTCATCATCCATTACAGACAAGCATACAACACAATATGTGGTGCTTTTGTTTATGAAACTTTGTAATTTTGGTGCCAATACATAAAAAAGCCCTGTCTTTTATTTTAATGTAGACTTTTATATGAAATAATGTTGTATGTCTTTAAGTGGTGGCTAGTAAAAGCCAAGAATTTTTCATGAGAAAAATTAAAACCTCCAATGTTGTATTTTTATTGGATATGAGATAGTGCAATTTATCTATGATACTTGTGTTCAAGGCATTAATTTATAAAAATGCTTGATTATTTTGGAAATGTTAAATATTAGATACTTGTCCTTTGACACAAAATTAATTAATTAATTAATTTATCTGAGATATGTGTATGTTATTGTTGGGGAATATTTATTTTGAAGTTTAAGAAAAAAATGCTAAATATGTAGAAAAGGTGTTTTGCTGATAGATGTTTGATAGAAAAAATGTACATGTATTGTTTTTTTTTAAAAAAAGCTTGCCTTAATTTAGTTTTATAAAAGGTTTTTTTTTTCTAATGGAAATATATTGGTTGAAGTTGGAGTGTGACAGGTTAGGCAGCTGGGTGACAACAGTTTCTTCTGTATTTAACTTTTCTGTCATTTCTAGAGACATTTTAACTGATTTCCTCAGAATGATTTTCATCAAGTGACCCCGCGCATATGGCTAGGAATTTGTGATTTGATCATTTTACATGATTTTGGCCTTGCTCTCAATATATAAAATTAGTTTCGTGGAAATCCAGATTTTGTTGCAATTTACTATGATTTTGATTTGTAATCTGTTAAACTTGATTTTGACTTGTTTACCATTTTTGTAAAATAAAAAAAGATTTATTTTTATGAAATGTATCAATGCCTACTTTTGAAAATGGAATGACCCAGTGTTATCTTTTGGGTTTTCTATATCCAAAGACTCATAGATCTTGATTTAAATAACCAATACATAAGGGTATGGTCGAACTGCACATTTAATTAAGAATGCTGACCTCCTGGCATAAACTGTTACTATCATTGTTTACTTAGTTCTCAAAAATGGATTTGTACCTGAAATAATCTATTTTTTCTTAACCTTTCTCATGTCTTGATATAGTAAACGTTTTTGAATGTAGAATATATCTGTATATATAGTTGCTTTACACACAAAGGTGCAATAATTTTTCAAATTTCACTTGTTTTCATATTAGCTTGCTTTATATGCCCCCAGATTGATATATCAGGAGGGCATGTTGTTTTTAGTCTGCGTGTTTTTCTGTTTTGTGTGTCTGTTGAAATTTTTTAAGCCATGACCAACATACGCAAAGATAAAGAGTAATATAGAATCACTAAAGAATGCACATAATGACAAAATTGTAAATGTTGCAGGCTCAGTTTGATTGAGCCTGTTCACGGACAGTCCTAGATAGTGCAAGTTACTGTCCACGCCCACCTTAAGCCGTATTCAACATTTAATATGAAATGGTAAAATTGGAATTTAGAAACATCCGTAGATGTGTTTGTATGGGGGTTATCATGGAACCTTCAATGTGACATGTAAGTGCCATATGGTTCCCAAGTAAAAGAATGTGCCATAAACAAGAAAACAATGGGCGGAACTAAATAAAATGAACAGGATGTCCTACCACCTTTAAACTTTCAAACTTCAAAGGCGCTTGTATGTTAATGAGCTCTACCAGCCAGACTGGCTTTGAGGTTGCATAGCCAAAGGTCAAGGTCAACAGGGTCAAGGACCCAATGGCATTCATTTGAACTAGCATTTGTTGTATATTAGATTTGTTTTACATGTATTTATATTTTTTATCAATGTTCAGAACTTTGCTTCACTAGTTGTTGATGATATACATTTATATTAATTAAGCTGATGTTACCTTAATGCAATAACAGGTTAACTCCTATTAAATTAGATGGGATTTAATATGTTATTGCATTAATATGATTATGTGTTTGTATTCTCCAAAATTTATAGTCTGAAATAATATGAGATTGTCAACAATAAAAATTTTACCCTACAACTGCCTGTTAGATAAAATTCTAGCTTGTAAATAAACTTAACAGTTGGTGATAGTGCTTTTGGTTTTAATTAATGAATGTACATTTGGCTATTGAATGAAAATAATATATTTGTAAGGCATGTCAGTACAGTAAACTCCACTTATAACGATATCACTTATAATAATATATCACTTATAATGGTATCGCTTAATACCATGTACCACCTATAATGATATCACTAATTAGATATACCACTTAAAACAATGTTGATGCAGCGGGCTCAACTCTTGTTTTCAAATTTTTGCTTCTTTTACATGTATATCCTGGTATAATGGTATGAATTTGGCGGTCCCCTGAAAATCGCATTTAGCGGAGTTTACTGTATTGATAAAGATAATTATAAATTCTGCTGTGTCATTATCAGTTATCTTGCCACTTTTTTATCATATACTTGATTCATGATATGTTGTACATTTTTTTTAACACTGCGTAAAGGCAAAGGACAAAATTATGTTTGTTTGTTGTCTCCTGACATATTCCATAGTAACTGTACTGAAAAATTAATCATCATAAATTTCGAAAATTATTTGTTCAATGAAGACATAAGAAACAGCATATGAGGGTAAAATTATTTGGTTATTAGTTGAACTATACAAAAGAAAAATGGGTAAAGAGATAGAAAACAAATATAACTTCTATCATGCTTAATTTTAGTGCTATCTTTAAAATGATGTATACTTGATATGTGTGAATGCCTGTTAAAAAGAGATATGTTAATTCTATGTGAGAGTATGATTAAATAGGGATATAACTGCCTCGGCTGAATTTTGGTAAAAAGAATGTTAAAAGGTATACTGCTTTTTCAAGCGAATTTGGCTAAAATGGAATACATGTATATTAATATATAATATTATATATTTATTCCCTATGAAATGAGGATATATTTTGATTTTAAAGGTATGTAAAAACAACATGATTCATCTTTGTCAAAAAAAAAATCAGATTGTTTATAAATAATGATTTATTTCAAAGATGATTCGATAACTTTTTTTGCTTACTTACACATTGTTAATAATTGTGAATAGAGGAAAATATGTGAATGTGATAAATGTGGTTCAAGAAAAAATTAATTTGTACATATCCAATTATGTAAGATGTTTATACAGGGTGTCAAACCAAATACATGATTATTATACAAGTGCTTGTTTGTTGTTTTTTTTTCTTAAAGAAAAGCTTTGGAATTTTTAGATTGACACATTAGACATAGATTAGCAACATATCAAGTTTTATAAACTTTTGCTGTTAAGACTAAACTCCGCAATTAGAAATTAAACTCCCCATTGCGAAACTCAAATTCTTATCGTTGACACTTGAACCCTTACCAAAGAAACCATAGATACTCAAACCCTTACAAAAGTGCCTGAAACCCTTACCATAGAGACTCAAACCCTTACAAAAGTGCTTGAAACCCTTACCATAGAGACTCAAACCCTAACCAAAGGGACTCAACCTTGTTAGAGACCAAAGAGACATTAACCCTTACCAAAGAGACTAGAAATCTTACTAAAGAGAATTAGACCTGTAACAAAGAGAATTAACCCTTTGTCGATGAAGTTCTTACTGTTGATACTCGAACCCATGATTGGCGGGAAGTGAGCAGACGGAAGAACAATTCTCAACACATCTGTGACCAAAGTTATAACACTTGTCTGTTAACATATTAACAATCATAGTCAGCTTCCGGTGTAGATGAAACCTAATATGATAGTGATATATTATTTATTAACCCTTAAAATGTCCATTATTCAATCAGAATCATACCATTTATCATTTTAAGAAAAAAAAATATATGTATATTGACCACAAACACTATCCCCTGGCATGGTCCACCCTAAATTTCTTAGAAATCAGTGATCGGTCCTCACCGAAACGATAAGCAAAATATATACATGTACATGTTGATTTACACAGAAACAATCGAGTTTCGAAATGATAATTAGCAAAACTGTTGGGCCAAAGTTCTTACAAATTTAGCGATCGGCCCTACCAAAAGGTAAGTGAAATGTTTATATTTTATTGTTTCGAAGTGATGACTTTAAAAACCAAATGATCTGCAACATATGTAACGTTTGAACAACTCTGGGAGATAGCTTATATTCATGTACAACTTTCATCCATAAAGAACAGGCTCAATTAAACCGAGTTTACAACAGCTCAAATTGTGCTGTGTTTGGCGATCTTCAAATTCCCCTTTTGATTATTTGTGTTTCAGTTGAATAAAAATTTCAAATAGTAAGGCTTAACTTTTACATATGTCTTCAATTTTATTGTTATTCCCTTCTGGTTGAGGGGTTGCTTTAAAGGCTTGATGCATCAGAATTGCAGCCACCGTTTTATCACTGCGTGATCGTAGGAAGCGACTGAATGGGTTCGAATTACTTGAGTCTATGCACCTCTTAGCTCCAGCAGGTGAGGGGTTTTGACCCTTGGTGTTGCTTTAATTTTGTAGTACCCGAGGTTAGCCAAAATAATCCTTCCTCTTTCGGCGCCATATGACCCAAATTGTGTTGGTGTGTAAAACCAAACCAAACAAACAATTTTATCGTTGATTTTTAGTAAATTCTGACAAGTCATTTCTGAAATTTTACTTGATAAGAATGTGAAGAAAAACTAACTTGTTGTAGTATATTTTAAGCTTCAGAACTTCAGAATATCATTAAAATAAATTCTTGATTTTGAATATAACATTTTCATTATTATCATCATCGGTTTAAATCCAACAACTCTTAATTAGGATTCAACAAAATATTTATTTGTGCCACAGGGGGTGACATGAAATATGCAACATTACCAGGATATGCTACTAATCATAACTGAAAACGATTACAAAAAAGCAAGAAAAAAAACAACAACAAAACAAACAAACAAAAAATAACAAAATAATCAAGGCAAAGTCAATTCACTTTGTTATTGTACACTTTGAGTGAAACATAAACATATAACACTCGTTTCATTGCAGTCATAACCGTGATCAATGCTGATACTTGTGGTGAAAAACATCCCTAAGATATGCTTTATTTTATTTTATTTTAATTTCAAAATTTATTAACCCCGTCATACAAAGGGGTCGGGAAGCATCCCCAGTGTACCTTATAAATACAGTGATAATATAGGTATGCAAAGATGTAAGTTTTGTTGGTCTATGAAACATTAAAGTGAAGCTGGATATTAAAAAGTTGATAAAAAACACCTGGTCCAGTGGATTGATCGGAATGATAAACAATCTTCATGCAAATTTTAGAGTTCTTTCAGAGAGGATTTTGTAATTTGCATTTCGAACAAAAATGTGATGGAAAAACTTTCTTTTAGTGGCTCCTCCTGTTGAATAAACCATATACATGTACAATGTCACATCGCTTCAAATTAACTGTTTATTAATTTATTTCAATTTTGATACTTGGAGATCAAAGGCAGCATTAATTAAAAGAATTTCATCTATATAAATTTCTCATCTGACCTCTGAGATGGATATATCCAGTGTGTTGTCTACACTGTAAGGAGGATAACAAATTTCACTGAAATTAGTATTATTGTCAATTTCACGACATGGTCCGTTTGATGTTGTTTTTTGTTACTTGGTGCCGCTGAGGTGGCTTGGTTATGTCTAGGGTTGAGTTCTGAGGACGTGATTAGTTTCGTTGTGATTTTTCCATTTTACATACTGCATCACTCGAAATTACTCTTGCTTGTATGAAATATATTCATAAGTGTTGTTAAAGTTTGTTCACTATTTTAATAGTGTTCTTCAATGGTTTTTATAACTGCTCAAAAACAAATATTGGAGGTAATGAAAAAGTAATGGTTTGTGTTGTAAAACCACTTTTGATGAGAAATAGATCAAATACAGAACAAAGAAAACACTGTCAAGCACACCGATGGCAAAACAAAAACCGCCTAGGGACCGCCTTAGGGGATGTGTCCATTGAATGCCAACCTTCCTTGTTTCATACTTGCAGTGATATTCTATACTGTTTCCGCAACGTTCCTAATTTATCTGATTTTTAAAGAGAAATGTCATATCGTCGCAATGCGTAGGACAAAACACCAATGCATATATTTATTCGTGAAACATTCTATCTGCATATTGTCTTTTCGCTGCATAACAGTATTTCATGGCTGTTTTATTTCTTTGTTAGGCCTATCTTAAGAGACCAAATTTTGTTGCATCGACAGTTTCAATTTTTCATTTAGGAAACATATTAGTAGAAATTGTTGTGCCCCGTGTGGTGCTCCAATGCTTGTTCCGTTCCGTTTTGTTCCGTTCGCAAAGTAAAGCCTTTTGCTGCTTTGGATGTTAATGCACGACAAAGATACATCAATTATCATGAGAAATTGTAGGTAGTTAATTTCGAAAGTAATATAGTCTAAAAGCCCCGTCACACTAGACTGGGCTTTTATTGTGTTTGCATGGCGTTGTAAAATTTAACAAAGCGTCGCGAGATTGCAAGAAAAATATATTTTTTGACATGGAGACTTTGCGGCGTCCTCACGGCCATCATGGCGTTGCTTCGGAGCTTCCATGGCGTTGTAGTGCGTTCTTGCGGCGTTTTAATCGGCGATTTCTGCGTTCGGACTGCGCTTCTACCGAGTTTTTTGCGCTTTCACTGCGCTTTCACAGCGCTCACACGGCGCTCTCTCAGCACTGACACTGTGCTGAAATCGTCCTTCATGTACCAGCGACTCATGTCGGAATAGTCATGTACCTGCTGCAACTGCATGCAAGCATCAATATTCTAGCTTGCTGCCGTTCATCATCCATGGTTTAAATGACATTTACTTGCAAAGTTCTGTAAAAAGGTTAGTATTTAACACCAGTACACATCTAAAATCTTAGTAATGTTGAAATGTGTATTTTAAAATTTGTACCTAAAATGCTTCAAAAGCCATCATTTAATATTCAAAGAATTACTGCCATTTAACCATAACTTACATGTTTTTTTGGTGAAAATTTGTAGACATTTCTATTCAAAAATGTGCACCTAAAATGCACCAGAAGACACCATTTAACATGTAAATTAATGTTTTTTCCTGGGAAGAGGAACCCAGAGCCCCCATAGAAAGGAGGTCAGTTTGGTCAATTCAAACTTAAAACCCCCGAGGTCCCAACTTCAAGAGTGTTCCAGTACTTTTCAAGGATAAAAAAGGCAACTCGCCAACTGTACATATTGTTTTTAAATTGATATTTTTCTCATTATACAGAAATCCACTTGTAAAATATAATCCCATACTGGTTGGGAAAATACTTCTAACACTGGATCAACTATTTTTGTAATAACTTGATGTTTATTTAAAATATTGACTCTCTTAAGCAAAGTTTGGTTCAAAGACTACAATAGATCTATATCACACAAATTATTTATCGAAAAAGAAACTGGTACTTCTTTATAGTCCTAAATGAGGTATCCACACAGTCTTTGTACCCTTTTTTACGTTAATTTCTATGTCAAATATTGCTGAAAAATCAGCATCAGTCAATTATTTTTACATTTTTTATGTTGATATCTCAACCATTTTTCAAAAATCTTTCCCAAGTCGGTGGCCTGTCATCTATCTAATATGGTAGTTTAGAAAGAGGAGCACATTGATGGAGTTTTTGTGAACAAAAATTTGAGGTAATTTGACAAACAAACAAAAAGTTAACAAATTTTTTAACAAAGGCCGCACTCAGAATTCAAAAATTTATTTTAAATATTAATACAAGGGAGAAACCTCTATTTACTGTATTAATCTATTTAGGTATAAGGAAGAATTCAACCTTAACAGCCATGAGGCAAGAGGTGAAAGCCCAATATGGCTTTTTCTGCTTTTGGTGTATATATTATGATTTAAAAAAAGGTTCTGTGGAGTCTAAAATTTTAATTTAGAAAAAATATTTTCAGGAGAATTTCTTTCTAGAAATAAGAGCTGTTCTATTACAATTTCTTGCTATCATGAGGATATTTAATATTAAACATGTTTTGAAAAAAATCATGAATGCAAAGTCCGTTCCCTTATTATACATCCGAAAAAAATGTAGGCGTAAACTATTATGCACCTGGTTGTCCGTCCGTCTCTGAACACCTTTCTTGTCCTGACTTTATCTTTTTGACTTGGCAAAAATGTTAACCAAAATGAACCAATGTACAGAGCGCAGGTTTG